CATCAGAACCATCAAGGTTAAATTTTTTTCTCATCAGAGAAGACAACTTTCTTCCACCTTTCAATGTCCCTTGTTTGGTGCATGCACCCTTCCAAACGGGCAATTTTGTGGCGTTGAAGAAGACGTGGCCTTTGAAGACGTTTTTTGTTTCTGAAGCCCTTCTCTCACAGATGCCGTCTGATGGTTACTGGGCTGCAGTCAGCACCAGTAATGGCCTTAATTTGGGTAGAGGATCGTCCCGTGTCTTGACGGACAGCTAATCGGATCCTGCGGCTCAGAGCTGGTGAAATTTTTTTGGGTCTACCACTTGAATTTTTTGTGCTATAACCCTCAGGATCATTTAAAAAATGCAAAATGACTGTCTTACTGCGTCCAAACTACAGCAGCGATGGCACGTTGTGAGAGGCCTTGCTTATGCAGCTGAACAATCCTACCACGTTCAAAGTCAGTGAGCTTTTTTGCTTTTGCCATCAGGAGGTCTTGACAGTGTAAAGACTTGACAGAAAATGACATGGAATCCAGATTTTTGCACAGCTTTTGGCTTTTAAAGACTATGGTCTTAAACTTTTAATCAGCTGAAAAAAATCATGTTTGAGTGTAAATGCAGTTTTCAGAAAATTCTCTGCTCAAAAGTTCTTGTCTCTTGCACTGATTTTTTCCTTTAACATTGTGAAGCTCTACTTAGAACCTTCTTAAGATCCAATAGTGCAAAATGCAAATTCTTGCACTTTTTTTGACTGGTCTTAAGATTTTGATAAGGAGTGTAACACTAACCTAGAGTTATGCAATTTAAATCTTCTAACTCCACACATCTTCAGCTACAGAACAATTTCCAATTTCCAAATGTCCAATTGCTTCATCTTTGTTTGTTTGTTTTTAATTTTCCATGTCCTGGATGACTGCAAATCCACAGAAACATATGATAGTGACATCCAACGTTGGTTAGGCACATAGGGATTCTAAAGTTACTCGATCGATACTTTACTTTCAGCATGTTATTCAGGCATTTAGTTAGAGGGKCATCAGGACGTCGTAACAATGCCCTGTTCTGTTTTATGACGGCTTCTATCAGCTGGCGACTTCTCAGGATGYCYTGCCAATCTTCRGTCCGCCAAGAYTTTTTTTTTACTCTAYGTAAATTTATTTACGTAAACTTTCATAAACTACGTAAGCAGTGGAGCGGGTGAATGCATGTATTTTACAAAGCCAGAGAAAGACATATAAAGAATAAACATAACCAGCTTGGATAGAGGAGGTGTAAAGATGTTTCATGCTTTAGCAGCGGCTTTTATTTTCACAATCTCCAGTTCGGTTGTAGCTTATTTTCATCCACGTAAATTTCGGGGGGTGGGGGCTGGCTTAAAGTATCAACACCCTCCTCCGAAATCCTACCTAAAAGCCTGACGTCGCTTCATTCCAAAAATAAAATGCTGCACCGGAGTATCATGTTAGAGGCAGATTAAAATGTCAAAACTGAACTAAACTTGTCAGATAATTATTTAATCAGCTCTGACTGAACAACAACTTTAGAGCTGACATGCTAACAAAGCAGTTTAACTAATTCTGTGAACACAGAGGTAAATGTGACTTCACATCATCTTCTGCACATGCAGGTCCCATCRGGGCCAAGGARAGGTCACATTTAAAATATAATGTCATGCCAAAAATCTGATTACAAAATAATATACATATCAGAATTGAGCATTAAGACCTGCAGTGTGAACGTAGCMTAAGTCTGGCTTATAACAACTTGAATACACATTTACCCAAGTTTGCATTTTCAACAACACTGCATCAGAAAAATAATTGAAACTGATGTCAACCAAGACACCCTAAAGCAACAAATCTTTCACCAAGCATTTAAAATGATGGAAAATTTTGTAGGGGAAATTTTACTCCACTGGACTAATATTGGAGCAAAGGAATACATTGTGTCATTGAAGTGTCTAATTTGGGATATAAACTCACATGTGTGTTTGTGTGTGTTTAGTTTGTGTACCTGCAAGCCAGTTGGGCTCAAAAGGCTCCACCACTCTTTATCCAGACCAAAAACAAAAGCGTTGGCCAACCCATGGAGAGGCGCTGACAGGACATGTAAAAGGGTCAGGGGGAATGAAGGGTCCTGAGGGTAGAAGGCATTATGGASTCTGGTAGAGGAGAGACACAAAGACATAGAGAAGTGCTGAGTTTTATTGTTACAAAGTTTTAAATAAAAGACAGTCTGCACGAGAGGCTTAGGAGGTAAGGACGAAATAATCGAAGAAGTCAGACAGAGAGGAAAGACAGAGGGGGAAAAAGACAGCTAGAGGTTGATAGAGCAACAGAAGGCGAGTGAAAGAGAGGCAGAGGACAAGTGAGTGACAGAGTGAGGGACAGGGCGAGAACGAGAGGTAATGAGAGCAAGTGGCGGAGGCAGAAAAAGAAGGAGCAAGAGAGGAAAAAGGGGAGGGTGAAAGAGCGAGCGAGCTTTATATCAGCGTTTAAGAGCCCATTAGGCAGCGTGAGACGGCTGGGCTGACACATTCTTGGCTGCTGCTTCGACAGCACGCAGCACTTTACAAGGACAGGGAGACGTGTAGAGCGCTCAACTCGCTTCCTCTCCTTCTCACCACTTTCTACCAGCTCTGCTTCCAGCCTCTCCTGACCACAATTTCAATTTCCCATCTTCTATTATTTCTATGTGCAAATTTTCTTCCGCGTTGCCCTGCCTCCTGCTGATATGTCTTCCGGCTCTTTGAAGTCAGCGTTATCTATCTGGACATCTCATTTTGATCTTCACTCATGAGGCTGATCCTCTATTCCTATGCTTTTCAATTTTGGGAACCTGGGCATGACCGGGGAAGGAACTGATACTGTGTGATGTGGGAAAGAAGTAATGGCTGTCTGTGTGAACGAYGCTGCTTGGCCATTAACCCTGGATTAACCCTGTATTAGCGCTGCTCTCTGGGTTTGCCTGCCACTAATGTCTTTTATTGATCTATTAGCGAGAGATTCAAACTGCACGCGGCATTCTCTGCAGTGTTGTGCTCATGGGTTTGGGCGTCCAGCCTGAGCTGAGTGGCCACAGCTGTTGACCTCTGGGTCAGGAGAGTTATCCTCATGTTGCATGGACACAAATCCAAACATAGGACTGAAAGAAACACTGTTGTTTTGTGGTTACGAGGCAAAATGTGACTCTACAATCCCTGATCTACTGACAACCAGAACATAAGATCCATTTTTTTTAAATAATAACTTCTTGCGAAATGTTTGGTAAAAGCAGTTCTTCATGCGATTCATACAGTAAAAGTGTTGCCTTCGGTCTTTGCTGCTATAGTAACATAGTTCAGGCCTTCTTAAATGTTTTCAATTTTTATGTTGCAGCCTGATGACAATGATTTAAATTCACTTCATCCTTTATTTTCACTCAGTAGTTCCTCAAGACAACATAAAAATTTAATTTAAATTTGACAAYAAAAGATTTTTAGTAAAGGTCTTACAAAACTTGTAGAGTTTGAGCTTGTGTTGGAAATGACTCTTAGTTACTGCTACAATCAATTTTAGATCAATATTTGTAAAACTGATTGGGTTATAGTTGTTTTTATGTACTCTAATGTCAGTCGGCTGTGGTGGCCATCTTGTTTGGGGTCAACTTCAAAAGATAATGAAATATAAAATGATTGGTTTTCTTTAGAATCTACACAGTGGTTCATGAGATATTTTGTTAACAGACAGGCAAATTAAATAAAATTGTTTCTAAAAATGGGTGGCTCAGTTGGTAGAGCTGATGCCTCTCAACAAGAATGTTGCCGAATAAAATCCCGGCCCGGGGATCTTTCTGGGTAGAGTTTGCATGTTCTCTCCGGGCACTCCGGCTTCCTCCCACAGACCAAAAACATGACTGTTAGGTGAATTGGTAACTCTAAATTGTCCCTAGGTGTGATTGAGTGAATGGTTGTTTGTCCCATATGTCTCTATGTGTGGTCCTGTGATKGACTTGCGACCTGTCCAGGGTGTACCCTCGCACAGTGACTGCTGGATATGGGCACCAGTGACCCTAGAAAAGGAATAAATGGGTATAGACAATGGATGGATGTTTCTAACATTTATTTTATTATAAAAAAAGAAACAACATATCCAACCCCAGAAATTTAGCACAGGTGTCTCCTGTTTCTCTTGATTGCTTCTGAGATGTTTCTACACTTTGATTTGAGTCCATCCATTAGTTAAACAGATTGGACTTGATTTGGAAAGACAACCCTCACCCCGTCCATTACAGGCCCCCTACAGCTGAAAATCAGAGCAAACTCCAAGCACTACTCAATGACAGGATTGTTGCAACGCACAGATCTGGAGGTGTTTTAAAAATTACGCAGCACTGAAGGTTTCCTGGAGCACAGAAGCCTTGGTAACTCTCAAATAGAAGAAGTTTGGCTCAGCAAGACCTCTTCCAAGAGATGTTTGCTTCACCACACTGAGCAGTTAAGTAGGTAAAAATGGTTGTTTCTAAAACTTTTTACCTTTGACAATCATAAAATTTAGGTTCTTGAGACCCATGGTTATCAAACTGGAATACTGACTCCTGGTGGTATGATCATAGTAAATTCACAGTACACAACTTGTTATACTAACAGGTAAAAAAGTCCTTCTAGTGTTACGAAAAATAAATGTTGATATCATTCACTRTTTAAGTTTGGTTAACAGTTGTTTAAAATGGATTCTCTATTCGTAAAACAACCAGAATGATTCTTTTACAAATGTGTTGGTAGGTATATCTGGGTTCAGCAGGGCCAGGTATCAGCTTTTCAGTTAGAGATTTATCAAAGGGTACAAATAGCTGACATGCACTGCTATAAATTTCTAGGTAGTCCACAATTATCTACTAGGGGATGCTTACTAATAGTTCAAGTTACTCATTGCAAAATTCTCCACAGGGCAGCTGGACTCTCCCTTAGAGATAGGATGAGAAGTTCAGTCATATGGGAGAGACTCAGAGTAGAGCTGCTGCTCCTCCACATCAATAGGAGCCAGTTGAAGTGGTTCGGCCATCTGGTAAGGAGGACCCCATGATGCCTCCCTAGGGTGGTGTTTCAGGCATGTCCGACTGAGAGGAGACCCCGGGGAAGACACAGAACACGATGGAGAGACTATGTCTCTGGTCTGGCCTGGGAACTCCTTGGAATCCTCCCAGAAGAGCTGGAAGAAGTGGCTGGGGAAAGCCTCCAGGCTTAGGCTGTCCCCGCAGCCTGGCTATGGAACATTCAGGAGATAATTGATGGGTGAGTATTACAGTGTTCAGATACACAGAAAACGGAGAAATACACTGGGTTTGAGTTGTATTGCTCACAGTAGTTAGCCTGTTTACAGAATACAACAATTAGAAAAATTCTACTGACAATTGGATTTGCACCTGGAACATGATTAAGTTGGGTCTGAAGTCCCTGCCTGATATTTCTACATTGAAATGCAAAAAGTTTCTAAACATCTCATTTTTACTTTATTTTCCTTTGTATTGTCCCTCAGTGGAGAAACGAATTCTCTGCATTTTTCACAGCCCATGTGAGCACTTTATTTAAAGCACCCGGGAGCAGCTAGGGGGTCAACAGCCCACCAACATTTTCTTTGTTAGTTAGGGGAATTGAACCAGCGACGTTCCGATCATAGGCTCACATCTATAAATCTAATGATGAGCAGGAAAAATGGACAAAATCTTATTGGTTCCCTCCCTAAAATTACATGGAAAAGGGCACTTTAACTTTTAGTTGTAAAAATAAGCTTTGCTCAAGTAAGCCGTTTCCCCTCCTCCCTTAAAACCTTCTGACAACTGCAGGAGAACAGAAGATGATTATAGAGATTCCTCCACAAATCTGGTTATAATCCTCTCTTATCCTCTTTTGCTGTGTGAGGTTTCAAGGTTTATTTGCTATTAATCTGTCTCCATTTACCTTCTAACAACCCTCTGAAAAGTTGCAACAGAGGGAGCAAAAAAATATAAAAACTTATGTTGGCCAGAGGTTGGACCAGTTTAAGAGGACGCACCTTGTGTCATTCTGGGGTAAAGGTGTTAACTAAATGTCTACATGCAGCTTTAAATAAAACCAACAGCGCAGCAAATGAAGCCGGGAGCAGCGTTGCCGCGGCGCTTGTCGGAGTAAAGAACCGTTTCAGAGCAACGCTGCTTGTTTTCTGGGTTAGCGTAGTGCGGTATCTCCGAGGAGCAGACCAGCTGCTGCTCACATTCATTTCACTTCCCATTAAAGGTGAAATAAATCAGGAGTCCCCACACAACCTCCGGAGAGACGCAGGAAGAGCACGCACGCACACACACACACACACACACACACACACACACACACACACACAC